CTTATATGAAAATCATATTTACTGAAAAAAGTAAAGACATTGAGAGGACTGCAACCGATAGTAGATTTTTAATTATATATTTTTTTGTCTATGAAATTTCCCATTTAGTAACAAAACTGTTTAACAGAAATTTTGACATACTATTTTTAGTAAATTTCCATCCTTTATATATATAGATAGGTAACTGGCCCGGATTTCTCACTGATCTATTGTTATTTAATTTATTCTTGTGTTTTGCAGCTGAGGAAAATGCTTGATCTCCTGGTGCATGCTTCTCAATGCCGGTCTGCACTTTGCCAGTATCCCAACTGCCGGAAGGTGAAGGGACTTTTCCGCCATGGTATGGGCTGCAAGACGCGTGCTTCTGGAGGTTGTCCTTTGTGCAAGAAAATGTGGTACCTCCTCCAGCTGCATGCCCGTGCGTGCAAGGAAACCGAATGCACTGTACCTCGTTGCAGGTGTGTTCCTATATAATCTTTTCTTTGATAGATTCTTACATACTAGTCGTGATTACCAAGCTAGCACAAGCTTTGGTTCACTAAATTTGCAAATATCCACTCGACATGTGTGGAATGCACAATTTCTAAATTTACCGATTAGGTGTGGAGTGCACAATTTCTAAAATTCCCTCGTATCTCAATATGCAGGGACTTGAAGGATCACATGAGAAGGCTACAACAGCAGTCAGATTCACGTAGAAGGGCTGCTGTAAATGAAATGATGAGGCAACGTGCTGCAGAGGTTGCCGGCAATTCTTCATAATGACAGACGGGTTGTATATAACTATTGAAAATACCAGCTCTATTGAATTTCTATCTGAGGTGACCCGTAAAATTTTGTGGTGTTAAAAAACTACATTTTTTTCCCCCAACCCCCACTAGTGATAGGATTAGAATTTGTTGTTCTTTTTCTTCCTTTTTTTCCTTGTTCGACTTATTTATAATGAGCTTAACTCCGCAAAAGGAATTTTGAGGAGTTTCATATTCACCATCCACGGGCGTGCGCCCGTGCCATGTTTTGTGTTTTATGAGCTTTGGTAGGCTTTGTTTATAGATCATAGACAGCTTGCCTTGCTCTGAAGAGAAACTAGATGCTGTAAGTACAGAAAATCTGTCTATATATTTCTAGATAAGTGATTATT